TTGACATCTCACGCTATGCATTTTTTATTTTATTTTCTCCCTTCATTAGAACATGAGCTTTGTTTGTTCATTGTATTGTTCCCAGCACAGTGCCCAGCACATAACATCTGTTCAAACAATGTTTGTGGAATAACACATGAATGAAGACATGGATGGCACTCTGCTGGGGACACAGCGTACAGTATGGTGAAGCCTCAGAGAGGTGCCCTGAGCATCACCAAGGGCTCCTTACCTCCACTTGTCAAATCTGTCATGGGGGCTCAGTCCAGACCACTCATGCTTTCACCCTCATCAGCCAGGGTGACAGAGCATCAAACCTCTTCCCTAAGGAAGAGGGAAAAGGTGGGGGAAGCATGTTTGTTCACCACACAATCATTAAATGGGTCCACCTGTCAGGACACTGTCAGGCAACAGCTTAGTCAAGGACTTGAAAGGTGGCCATTGAAGAGGGCAGTAGACTGTGACATCAGTGCCCTGTATCATCAGCCCAGTCTGCCTCAGACACTGGATGTGAGAGCTGCTTGACAGGAAAGGATGCTGGCCTTTCCCAAGCCAGGAGTGAGGGACAAACCATCACAGCTGCAGAGCTGACCCGGTGGGTCTTTTACAGCCTCATCTCAGCTGGCCTCTGGGCACATTAGTCAGGATCCCTCAGTTGCAAGGGACAGAAATCAAGCTGAAGAGAAATAGTTCACTGGAGCATGTGGTACCTAGAAGTGCAGGGTTAGGATGCTGGGGACGAGCAACATGAATGTCCCCAGCTCTCACTCTGTCTTCTCTCCTATTTCTTTTCTTTGCATGTTGGTTTCACTCTCTCCTACCATGGATGAGCTTCTTCATGGCACAGGGAGCTTGGCTACAGAATTCAGCTTAGTGGCCCTGCTGCTCCCCTGCTGATGACACACTCACTGCCCTCATACATACATACAAGTAATCCATTCCCATCTGCCACTGTGGTCTGTACGGTTACACCAGAAAATCAGGCGGGCTTGTTGGTCTCTCGCAGAATGCCCTCCAGGTGCCAGGTACTTGGCAATATAATTTCTTTTAATCCACACAACTGCCCTGCAGAAAGATATATTGGTCAGGGCTTTTTCACCTCCCACTGACAAGAAGCCCAGCTCAAATTAGCTTAAGCCAAAAAGGGAGTTTATTGCTCACATAACTGATAAAAACAGGAGTGGACTTTAGGCATAGCTAGATCCAGGGAGACAGATTAGTTGGGCTGTCTCTCATTAGCTCCAGTTCTTTTATTATTATTTTATTTTATTTTAGAGACAGAGAGAGAATGCAAGAGGGGGAGAAGGGCAGAGGGAGAGAGAGAAAATCCCTAGTCAGCGTGGAGCCTGAAGGTGGACTCGACCCCACAACCGTGGCATCATGACATGAGCTGAAATTGAGAGCCAGACTGGGGACATACGGGAAAATACAGACTGGGGACAGTCGGTTAAGCCACCGACTTGGGCTCAGGTCATGATTTCGCAGTTTAAGCCCCGCAAAATCTGTGCTGCTGGCTCAGAGCCTGGAGCCGGCTTTGGATCCTGTGTCTCCCTCTCTCTCTGCCCCTCCCCTGCTCATACTCTGTCTTTCTCTCTCTCTGAAAATTAAATAAACATTTTAAAAAATGTTAAAGAGTCAGACCAACTGAGCCACCCAGATACCCCTGCTCCAATTCTTTTTTTTTAAGGTTCCCCCCCCACCCCCCAGTAATCTCCATGCCCAGTGGCACTCAAACTCACAGCCCTAAGATCAAGAGTCACATGTTCTTCCAACTGAGCCAGCCAGGTGCCCCTCATTAACTCCAGCTCTTAACCTGACTCCCCTCTGTATTGGCTCAGGAACATTCTGCCCACACAGCTGGAAAGATGCCCAAGGCATCCAAAGCCTGGATGGCCTTAACAGTCCTCAGTCCCAGGGGCAAGAGAGAGGCCTGCTCTCTGTGTGTAGAGGAAACTACTTGAGGATACTTGGGCTTCTAGAAGATCACATATCTATTCAGTGGACATGGGAAGGGCAACTCTACTTGGCCAGGCCAGATCACATGCCATCCCTGCAGCCGGAAGATAAGATAGACCTATGGGCAGTGGTGCCACAAGAATTGGGAAGGAGCAAACAGACTGCATACGACCAGCTATTGTTGGTATAATTTTCCTATTGTACAAATTAGGAAACTGAGGCATGGGGAGATTAGGAAACTCACCAGGGCTAGAGACACAGCTGGGATTCAAACCTTTGTCTGTCTGCTCTTCCCAGAACATCACCCTACCCCTTTTTAAAGTGATATTGAAACATCACCTGATGAAGTAGAATCTTGTTGACAGCTGTATTGTTCCCAGCCCCTCTTGTGACAGCTATCACAGAGAGGATGCCCTGGGAGGAAGGGGTGGCCACACTCTCAGATTAAATTTTTTACAAGCCCTGCTCCATGATTGAAAGAGTCTCTAAGATCATTAACTCCTGTTGCCATACTGAATCACTGAGTCAGTAATCCATCACCTGGCCTCTGTTTGGACACTGCCCTCACAGGGAACTCACCACCTCTCAAGGTAGGCAACTTATTCCAGATTTCAACTAGTCTAATGGTTAGAAACATCCCCAATGATTAGAAACAGTGTAGTTTGGGCTGGCTCCTGATTGTTTGTCTTCATTCATCTGTAGGAAAGCTTTTGGATTATGAGTGGAGGAACAGACAGAATTCTCTAGAGGGGGAACCATCTAAATACTTGAAAGTTGTCATGCACCCCTTTTCCTCTAACCCACCCAGTCATCTCCCTAATTTCCTCAACTGCTTTCCACTAATAAGAATCTATGGTCTCAAGAGACCCTTTGAAAAATGTGGGCCTCAGCGGGTAGAGCACAGAACACAGCATCTCTCTCTTCCTGCACTGGTTTAAATAGAACTCAGTATCACTTGCTTTTTGGCAACCATGAAGCACTGTTGGCTTAAATTGGTTCTATGGGGTCAGCTGTTTGGCCACATCATCTCTCCATTATGGACAAGTGACACTGATTTTTATTTTAATCAGAAATGATGGGTTGGGGCACCTGGGTGGCTCAGTTGGTTAAGCACCTAACTCCTCATTTCAGCTCAGGTCATAATTCACAATTTGTGAGTTTGAACCCCATGTCTGGCTCTGTGCAGAGGCTGCTTGGGATTCTCTGTCTCCCTCTCTCTCTGCCCCTTCTCTGCTTGCATTCTCTCACTCTCCCTGTCTCTTAAACATAAGCAAGTAAACATTTAAAAGAAAAAAAGAAAAGAAATGATAGATCAATCGTGGTTTTTTCTTTTTTGCAAAAATGATAAAACCTATTTTAAAATTCATATAGAATTTCAAGGAACCCTAAATAGCCAAAAACAATCTTAAAAAGGAAGAAAACTCACGTTTCCCAATGTCAAAACATAGTACAAAATTACAGTGATTAAAACAGTGTGCTATCAGCATTAGGACAGATGTATAGACCAATGGAATAGAACTGAAAACCCCAAAATAAACCTTCACATCTATGGTCAATTGATTTTCCACAAAGGTGTGGAAACTATTCAATAGGAAAAGGAGAGTCTTTTCAACAAATGGTGCAGGGAAAACTGGATATCCACACTTAAATAATGAAGTTAGATTTTTACCTCATACTGTATATAAAAATTACTCAAAATAGATCAAAGACCTAAAATGTAAGAGCTCAAACTATAAAACTCTTAGACGAAATCATGGGAGAAAATCTTCATGGCCCTTAGATTTGGCAATGGCTTCTTAAATATGATACCAAAGCACAAGTGACAAAAGAAAAAAATAAATAAATTAGACTTCACAAAATTAAACACTTTTGTGCATCAAAAGACATTATCAAGAGAGTGAAAAAGCAACCAAAAGAATGGAAAAATCTTGCAAATCACATATCTGATAAGGGTGTAACATCCAGAACATATAAAGAACTACAACTCAATAACAGAGAGACAAATGTCCAATTTAAAAATGGGCAAAGAATCATGAATAGATAGTTCTCCAAAGAAGATATACAAATAACCAAAAAGCACATGAAAAAATGTTCAGCATTATTAATCATTAGGGAAATGCAAATCAAAATCATAACTAGATACTACTTCATACCCACTAGGATGGCTAGAATTAAAACAAAACAAAACCAAGTGTTGACAAGGATGTGGAGAAATTGGAGCACTTTCATATCCTGTTGGGAATCTAAAATGGTGCTGTCCTTCAAAAGGCTAAACAAAGAATTACCTTATGATCCAGGAATTCTACTCCTGGGTATATACCCCTAAGAATTGAAAACAGGATTTAAACAGACAGTTGTAACCTATGTTGATTACAGCATTATTCACAATAGTTAAATGGTAGATACAACCTGAGTGTCCATCAACAGATGAATGAATAAACAAACTTTGGTTCATATGTACAAGAGAATATTATTCAGCCACAAAAAGAAACAAAGTTCTGATATATATTACAACATGGGTAAAACCTGAAGGCATTGTGCTAAGTGAAATAAACTAGATACAAAGGGACAAATATTGTATGATTCCACTCACATAGAATGTCTAGAATAGGAAAATTTTTAGATCCAGAAAGTAGGCTAGAGGTTACTAGGGGCTGAGGGAAGGGGGAAATGAGGAATTATTGCTTAATATGTGCAGTTTCTGTTTAGGATGATGAAAATGTTTTGGAAATAGATATTGCTGATGCACAAAATGTGAATGTACTTAATGCCACTGAACTGTACAATGAAAAATTATTAAAATGGTAAATTTTACATTATATATGTTTTACCACAATTAAAACTTTTTTACATGATTGGGGCACCTGAGTGGCTCAGTCAGTTAAGCATCTGACTCTTGATTTTGGTTCAGGTCATGATCTCAGGGTTTGTGGGTTTGAGCCACTTGGGATTCTTTCTCTCTCTGCTCTTCCCCCAATTTCTCTCTCTCTCTCTCTCTCTCTCTCTCTCTCTCTCTCTCTCCCTCTCTCTCTCTCAATAAAGAAAGAAACTTAGAAAAATGTTTTTACATGATTAAAATGGCAATTTTTATGTTGTATATATTTTACCTCAGTTAAAAAAAAAGGTAATGGGTCAGCACTGCTGCAAGGTCATAAAATACCTTCAATGTGAGCTTGAAAAAGGGTCCTCTTCCTCTGGGTGAAATTGAGTGGAGTGCCTTCATTTTAGCTCCCATTTAGTCTCTCAACCTGTAAGATGCATTTGGGGAGTGAACAGCCTATGCAACCATACATGGTGACCATGTGCTACATTTTCTATTTCTGTCTGTTTCTGGTTGGTGAAAATCATGTTGGGTCTTCATTCTGTTATCCAATATACTTGCCATCTCCCCCAGTTTGGTGATACCTACAGAGCTGATACTATGCCATCTTCCACACCATTGATTGAAAAGTCAAACTGGGCAGAACTCTGTGGCTCCTCAGTAGAGCCCTCCTGCCAGACTTCTACTGACTTGGACAAACACCCTTAGGGTATGACAGTCTAACTGCCACTCGTCCTACTTGTGCCTCTGGAATAATACATATATCATCATGCTGTGTCCTGCCTCCTTCCTCGCTAGTATTCTCCACATTTTCCCACATTGTCCTCAAAGATTTCTTGAGAACTAGATCAAAGTCTTCACCAAACTCCAGACACAGGGTATCTCCTTCATCTGCCAGTCTGGATATCCTATTACAAAAGAAAATGAGATTTTTTTTGGCCTGCATGCATCTTTAAGGGGATGGGATAAAGCAGGGAAATGGTTTCCCAATTTGAGCATGGCTAAAAATAACCTGGAGGGTGACTGTTAGGCTCTGCCCAAAGAGATTCAGATTCAGGAGGTCTGAGTGGGGCCCCAGCACTTGTATTTCTGGTAAGTTCTCAGTGATGGTAAAGCGTGGTCCAGAGACCACATTTTGAGAACCACTGATGTATGGGGGCAAAGGAAATGCTTTGGAGTCAGGTAGACCTTAACTTGTTTGCATGTCAGTTTCTTTGAAATCAAGATAGTAATCCCACCTAATATGGTAGCTGTGGATTAAAAAGAGAATGCATAGAAACACTTAGCTTGGTGCCTAGCACATAAGTGATCAATAAACATTGACATATTAATATATCTCGTAATGAATCTGGGCTGGCTGCTTTTCTGAGCCACTCACACACCATTGCTAGATCATCCATCTGCACATTGGAGCAGGGGATTGGTCAGTTACTGGCCTCAGTTTTTCTTGGGTTAATCTGGGTAGTGGGTAGGTTTCAAAATTGGTTACCTGAAGAAAGTGGATTGATTAACTAAGAAAGAAAAGAGAATAAACCCTTCAAGTGGGAGGAAGGAGCCCTGGCTGAACTGGGGGAGGATTCCTCTACCCTCTGTTTCTCTTTTGTCTCTTAGCTGGTTACTTATAATACTGTCAGAATCTTACTTTCCAAAGCCCATTCATAGATAGCAAGTCAAGAAGATGGGTGCCCAGCCAAGCCTGGCTCCCAGGCAGGGCAAACCTCTGCCCTAGATGGATGGGACTCCCAAAGCAGACCTCTGCCTCACCCTGAGCATCCTCATTCCTGACACACCTCAGATACTGGGCTTCCTGCCTTACTCTTGAGATGCATGTTTCAAAACTGAGATGTCACAATATTCTGTGTTTGTTCCTGCCTGGTGCTTCTGTCTCAGTGGCAGTCCCCAGGCTCAGAGGTTGAGTAGGACTGATGGACAGAGCCAGCCAGGCAGCAGATTCATCCACCACCTCTACTCTCCTCTCCCAAGTCCACAGGCCTAGGCCTGAGAGGCCCCTCCCACCTCCCCCTTGCCCCCCCCCCCAAACTCCCAAGCTCTGAAAGGAGAAAAATGTCCAAAACCTCCAAGAACTGTAGGAGCAGAGCCTGCCCCAGAACATGCTTCTCAGTACCTTGGTGCTGCAGGTACAACAAAGCAGTGGCTCTGGGGCTAGACTGCTTCTTTGTTGGCTCTGCAACCTTGGATATGTTAACAAAGCTCCTGATACAACGCAGTTTCCTCTTTTGTCAAATTGAAGCTAATGATCTTACCTGCCTCAGAATTGCCGAGAAGATTAAATGATTTTTTATGGCTAGTGCTTAGGACAGATCCTGACACATGGGAAACTCTTAGTAATATTGATTTCATTACTAGTAGTTTCTGGGCCAGAGTTTTTTAAACTAATGGTATTTCCCCATCTGTAGTGGGTTCAACCGTGTCTCCCTCTCCCAAAGGTATATCTAAATCCCATCCCCTGGTACCTGTGAAAATGACCTTATTTGGGTAGGCTGTTAAGGATCTCAAGGTGATATCACCCTGGATTTAGAGTGGGCCTTAAATGTAATGAGTGGTGTCCTTACAAGAGAAAGGACACAAAGAGAGGCACAGAGTCATAAAGGCCATGTGAAGAACAGATTTATGCCTGCCACAAGCCAAAGAAGTGGAGCCATCGGAAGCTGGAATGAGGAAGGGAAGATTCTTCTTTAGAATTTTCAGAGGGGGTGTGGCTCTACAGGCAACTTGATCCCCAACTCTGGTCTGCATAACTGTGAGAGAAAAAATGACTATCATTTAAAGCACCAGGTCTGTGGTGAGTTGTCACGGCAGCCCTGGGAAATGAATACACCTTTCTTTCCAATTGTCCAGAGGCCCTGCCCAGGCTCACTCTCTCTTGCAAGGGTCTGTTCACATTTCTCTCTCCTCCCAGCAAAAACACCCACCTCTTGGGGAAATTTACCTTGATGTGAAGTGGAAAAAAATATGATAATTTAGCTAAAAAAAAAGTCTTTCCCTCTGAGCATTAAAAACTTTCCCTCACACGCCTGCATTCCAAATGAAGCTTTCTTGGTGGAATGTGGGTCTGAAGATTTTCAAGGCCTTCTTGGTCTCCCTGGCTGGGCTGGCTCACTCTGCAGAGGGCACTTCTGCCCAAACACTGACCAGACCAAAAGGTCATGAGAAACCTCTTTGTGCTGCTTGGTCTGTAGGGCAGGCTTGGTACATCATTGTCCAAATAAATATTTATTGACTTAAGAGATAAGGGATGGGTTTTGCTGATGTCCCCACCTTTACCCTAGTCTTAGAAAATTCCATGAGAAGTGAAAACATGTCCATACCCAGAGTTGTACACAAATGTTTAGAGAGGCTTTATTTACAATAGCCAAATCTGGAAACGATACAAATTCCATCAACGGGTGACTGAATAAATAAATGGTGGTATATCCCTATAGTGGTATACTACTCAGCAATAAAAAGGACTAATCTATTCACCAGTATAGGTGAATCTCAGAGTCATTATGCTGAATGGAAGAAGCCAGACACAAAAGAGTACATACTATACTATTCCATTTACATGTAATTCTAGAGAACAGAAAATTAATCTATCGTGACAGGAAGACTAGAAGCTGCCTGGGGCTGGGGTAGAGGGAAGACTGGCTGCAAAGGGGCAGGAGGGGACTCTTGAGGGTGATGGAAATATTCTGCATCTTGATCACGGTTATGGTTACACTGATGTATACATTTATCAGAACTCATCAAATCAATACTTTAAATGGGTTCAGTTTATTGTATGTAAATTATATCTCAATAAAGTTGATTAAAAAGAAAACTCTGTAAGCTGTGGGCCCTAAATACTACATCCTCTACTTCAATAAAAATAGAATATGCATCTTGCATGTGGAGAAGTCTACATTTTAAAAAAAAATTTTAATGTTTATTTTTGAGAGAGAGAGAGACAGAGCATTAGTAGAGGAAGGGTAGAAAGAGAGAGGGAGACACAGAATCCAAAACAGGCTCCAGGCTCTGAGCTGTCAGCAGAGATGGATACGGGGCTCAAACTCAGGAACAGCGAGCTCATGACCTAGGCCAAAGTTGGACGCTCAACTGAGTCACCCAGGTGCCTCGAGAATTTATTTAGACAACAGATATGTATTGAACACCAGCCCAGTGTGTGGGCATCTGGTTGGCACTGGGAGGTCCATAATGTAGGGTGTGCCCTCAGGAGGCCAGGGCTGAAACAGAGCTTGCCAATTTCCCAAAGACAGATGAGCTAGGATGAAAAGAATGTGCCAAGGGAAAAGAATGGGTCATCAGTGCTACCTTGACTGAGATGCTTGTTACAAGTATTAAAAATGCCTGGGCTCCATCCCTGACTTAGAAATGCTGAAAAGGCCTAGGAATCTTTGTTTTTAATAAGTGTCCCAGGGAAATCTTCACATTGGGTAAATTTAGAGAAAATGGTCTCTATTTCAGGCAGAGGTGGGAATCACACCGCCCCCCCCCCCCCCCCCCCCCCAATTTAGAGGACTTTGAACTAGAAGAGCCTGTGAAGGGTAACCCTTCCCACCCACCTACCTACCTACCTCTGGCCAATGGGAATCTGCCAACTCCTTCTTCCTCTCTGCTCCTGGAGTCTCAGCCTGTCTACCAGAAATTCCCCTGTTTAGTTAACTCTCTCCCCCTTCAGAAGCTCCTGACTTTTTGGTCATCTTGGGAAAAATAGAAAAAAGTTCCCTCTCCCCAAATCCCACTATCTTTCAGAAGGGTAAATGTTTTATTAAGCAGTTCTGCAACTTGGGTCAAACATGTCGGTCCTTTGACTAGGCAGTGTTTCTGCTCCTCTGGCCTGAGAATTCAATGCTAACCTAACCTAGTGAACACATTCCCCATGGTCAGAGTGGTAGGTGTGAAGCTGTTGGAGGGGGTGGGGGGGATTCCTTCCTCTGTGCATTCAGGCCACAGGGAGAGGTGGTCACCATGTCAATGAGCACTCTCTACTCTGCAAGCAGACATTTTGTTTTCATGAGCAAAACCCCAACACATCAGGAGGATGTGTGGTAGCAGTGGGGACACAACATTCAGAAAAGTTCTATGTCACAGCTAGAGATCACCCAGTACCTCAGGGTCAGCAGCTAGACACCCTTCCCAAAGTTGGCCAGGACTTTGGGCAAAAGGCAAGCATTCAGGCCTTAGCTGCTATCCTTCTCCCAGAAAAGGAAAACTGTCCCCTCTTTGAAAACATGCCATGGTGACCATATTTTAAAATCCCAAATCAGGGGGCAACTGGGTGGCTCAGTCAGGTCATTATCTCTCAGTTTGTGAGTTCGAGCCCTGAACTGGGTTTGCTGCTGTCAGCTCAGAGTCTGGAGCTTACTTCAGATCCTGGTCGTCCCCACCCACCCCCCACCCACCCCCCACCCCCCCGCCATTCCCCTG